GAAAATTACATCGAAACGCGTCGTGGCTGTGCAGTGTTTTCGGGTGGGCAATACCCAATTTCCATCTACTTTGAATACGGTCCCAGCGATCGCAGTGACTAAGGTTCATTTCAATGTGAATCACAGTCCAGTAAATTGAGGTTGCGTGTCGCAATCCAACTACACAACGTGTAATCCAAACTTGACCCTCCAAATATATACACAATATTACAGTAACCTGGAAAGACTTTACACAACTGCGGCACAATTTTATGGAAATGCGGCTCGATCTAACGAAATCACGCTGCGATTTTACGGAACTTTGCAGTTATATATCCGAGACCATTGCTTTCTATTAGACGGCGTTTTGAGACGATTTAACTGTATTATGGGACGATTTTACGGAACTGCTGCACTATGTTTCATTAAGGTTGCGGTATTTTATGTAAATTGGCACGAGTGAACTTAACTATGTCAGTTTTACGATTTGTGCGCCCAAATATCTGAGGCGATTACTTACAATTATATGGATATGTGTGATGAGTTGACGGAATTACAGGAGGAGTACCAGAAACCGTTTCACTATTTTACGAAAGCGCGGCAAGATTTTAGGGAAATAAGTGCAGATTTTACAGAACTGTGGCACGATTTTACGGAATTGTTGCCGGAATTTTCAAAACCATGGCACGATTTTTTAAAATTAAGCCACGATTTATGGGCGACGATTTAAAGTGTCGACTTAAAAGATTTGTGGTACGTTTTTACGGTACTGTTGCACGATTAACCAGAACCGTGACACAATATAAGGGAACTGTGGATTAATTTTCCTGAACTGCTGTTAAATTTTACAAAACCGTGGCACGATTTTACGGAACTGTAGGATAATTTTACTAAACTGCGCGGCTATATGTCTAAGTCTACCGATTACCATCAGACTAAATTGTGTGACTACTTTACGGAACTTGATGAGGTCCTTATAGCCATTTGTCACGATTTCTCGGAAATGCTTCATGATTTGTGAACCAGCAACACCATTTTACGGAATTGTGGCACGTCTATACGTTACATTGCACGATTTTGCGGCACTCTGTCATCATTACTGTAGCACGAGTATACGGAAATGCGGCACGATTTTACGACACTGTGCAGCTTTATGTCCGAGGCAATTACGTATTATAAAACTGATATTTAAAACGGTTTTACGGAACTGTTCACCATTTTTATAAAAGTTACACTAATTTAATTAACTTTAGCACGGCTTTACGAAACTATGCCACCATTTATACGGAACTGTGACACGATTTTACGGTATTAGGGCACTATGTTACGGAAAAGTGGCACGGCAGCACTAATATTCGTTTCGCTGTTAGTAGGGTCTTGAAACGATTCCGTAAAGCAATGACATTTCTTTATTTTGGTAAGCAATCGCTTTTAAAATATCGCTGTACAGTTCCAAAACTCTTCGCTCTTATTTGTTTTATCCTCACACCGTTCTTTAAAATCGCGCCGCATACCCGTGAAAACGTGTTATTTCCGTAGACGCAAGCCAGTTTCGTAATATCGTGCTAGTTCCACAAAATCGGGCACAGTTCCGAAAAATTGTCGCACGTTGCCATAACACCTTGCCACTGTTCCGTAAACTTTGGTAAAATTGCGCCAGTTCCCGAAACTCGTACCAGAGTTCCGTAATATCGTACCAGTTTTTTTAAACTCTAACTACAGTTCTGTAACATCGTTCAATTTCCGTAAACAATGGAGATTATAGAATCAAACCAGTTACGTAAAATCTTGCAACATTCCTTAAAGTCATCCCACGGTTCCTTATTTGGTGCTACCTTTTCGAAACCTCCTACTTCAATTCCGTTAAATCGTGCAACTGTTCAGTAACCTTGTGCGTACGGGCAGTAAAATTGTAACCATTTTGTAATATCGTGCCACGGTTGCGTGTCATCTTGCTGCATTTCAGTAAAATCGAGTCACAGCTTTGTAAATTCTTGCTAACTTTCCGTAAAATAGTCGCACCTTACCGTATGATCTTGTCAGAGTTTCGTATGATGGTGCAACGGTACCGTAAAATCGTATCCGTTCCGTAAAATCGTCGCCAATTTTCCTAAGATCTTGCCACTGTTCCGCAAATTCATGCAGAGGTTCTATACGATTTCGCCAGTTCCGTAACCTTGTTCCACGGTTCCGACATCCATGCCAGTTTTAAAAACTCGTGCCAGTTTTCCTTAAGAAATTGTCCCAGGTCCGTAAACTCTTGACGGTTTTGTAAAATCATGCGTTCAGTAAAATCGCACCGCAGTTTCTGAAAAGCGTGTCACAGTTCTGTAAAACCCTGCTACCATTCCGTTAATTACCGGCCAAAGGTCCGTAAAATAGTCTCACAATTCCGTAGCATCGCGCCAAATTTGACGTAAAATTGTGCCATATATACGTAAGCTTGTGCCAATTATGTAAACTCGTGCCAGTTCTGCAAAATCCTGCCACTATTCCGTAAACTTGTGCAGATTCCTACTTTTGTACCACCGTGACGTAAAATCCTGCTACGGTTCCGTATAATCATGCCACTACCTTAAAATCGTGCTGCAGTTCCGCAACATCGTGCTATTTACCTAATATTTTTCTACGATGTTGTAAAATTTGCCCTAGTTCTGTAACATCGTGCAACACTTCGGTAAGATGGTGCCAGATTTGTAAAATAACACCAGTTCAGTAAATCATGCCAGTTTAGTAAAATCGTGTTACAGTTCCGTAAACTTGAGGCAATTCCCTAAAACTATGCCAGTTACATGAAATCGATCCGCAGTTCCTACAAATCGTGTCACGGCTTCGTACAGTCGTGCCACGACTCCGAAACGTCGTATCTCGATTCTGTCCAATCGTTCTACAGTCCCGTAATATTGTGTAAATGATCTGTACAATCGACCAATTTCGAAAAATCCTGGCGCAGTTGCGTATCAAATTACACAGTTTCAAAGAAGTGCGTCACTATTCTGTAAATTTCTGTTAAAATTCCGTACGATAGTCGCACAATTCCGTAAGTCCTTTTCATTGTTCCGTAAATTAGTGTCCCAATTCACTTAATTCTTATCACTTTCTTGTTACCGTCGCAAATTTCGGTGAATTCTTGCTGCTGTTACGTAAAATATTTTCACGGTTACTTAAAATGGCGCCTGTTCCGTAATATCTTGCCACCGTTCCGTAAAATCCTGCCAATTTTCTAAACAGGTGCTATATTACGTAAACTAGTCCCAGGCCGGTAATAACTAGAGAGTTTTGTAAAATAATGCCAGTTCCGTATAACCGTGAAATTTTCCTAAACTGGGCACCAACTGCTTAAATTCGTCGCTTAATTATGTAAATTCATCGTTAGGTTCCGTAAAATGAGCTCCCAGTTACGCAAAATCGTCGCCGAGTTACAGAAATTGGTTGCATAGTTTCGCTAATTCGTGTCCCAATTCCGACAAATTGTCCGAAATTCCAAAAAAGCGTCGCTTAGTTTTGTAAACTCTTCGCCCGGTTCCATAGAATGTTCGACCACTACCGTAAAATCGTCGCTTAATTTTGAAAAACCTTCGAGAAGCTTCGTAAAATCGCAACCCAGTTCCGTAAATTCGTCGCAGAATTCCGTAATATCGTCGCCGCTTTCCGTAAATTTTGCACCCAATTTAGCAAAACCGTCGCTTATTTCCGCAATATCGTCACTGAGTTCCGTACCATCGAATCCGAAACCCGTAAAATCGTCGAATTTTTGGTAAAACCGCCTGCAATTTAACCAAAACTGTCTCCCAGTTCCGTAACATCGTACTAAAGCCATAAAAACAATCGCTTATTTTCCAAAAGCTGACGCGCAGTCTATTAAAATCGTCTCCCAGTTCCGCAAAATGGACGTCCATTTCCGTAAAATCGTGGCTATTTTACGTAAATTCATGGTAAATTTCCGTAACACCGTCGCAGATTTACGTAGAGTTGGCGCCCAATTCGTGAAACTGTATATTATATCCGCAATATCGTAGCAGAGTTCCGAATCATCGCAGCCGGGTCCCGCGAAATCGACGCACAGTTCCGTAAAACATTAGACCCATTCCGTAAAATGGTCTCCGAGTTACGTAACATCGTCCATATTCCGTGAAATCATCGATTATTTCCCTATAGTCGTCGTACAGTCCCGTAAAACCGTCACCCAGTTCCGTAAAATCGCTTATTTCCGCAAACTCGTTGCGCAAATACGTAACATGGACGCGCAATTCAGTAAAAGCGTAGCGCAATTCCGTGAAATGGTCACCAAGTTCCGTAAAATGAGCGATCAAATCGTAAAAGTCGTCACTTAGTTCAGTACAACGGGCGGACAATTTCGTATAATAAGCGCCCAGTTCCGTAAAATGGGTGCCTGATTTGAAAAATTGTCGCCCGGCTCCGAAAAATGGGCGCGCAATTGCGTAATATCATCGACCATTTCCGTAAAATTGGCGCCTAGTTCGTAAAACCGTCGCTTATTTCCATAACATCATCGCCGAGTGCCGTACTTTCGCTGCAGTGATCCGTGAAATCGTCGCCCAGTTCCGCAACACCGACCTTATACCGTATAATCATGGATTATTTTCATAAATCGTCGCCCAGTCCCGTAATATGGCTGACCTGTTCCGGAAAATGGGCGCCTACTTTGTACAACCGTCGCTTATTTCCGGAATATCGTCGTCTGGTTCCATATATTCGCTGCAGCAATCCGTAAAATCGTCGCCCAGTTCCTCAACACCAACCTCATTCCGTAAAATCATCGATTATTTACCTAAAATCGTCGTTCCGTCCCATATTATGGCTGACGACTTCCGTAAAATGGGCGCCTAGTTCCAAAAAGGTCGCTTAGTTCGGTACAACGGGCAGACCATTCCGTGTAATGAGCGCCCAGTTCCGCAACATCGTGGGACATTTCCGTAAAATGATCTCCCAGTTCCATAACCTCGTCCTTATTCCGCCAAACCATCGATTATTTCCCTGAAAGGCGTGCCGTAATATCGTCACCCAGTTCCGTAAATTCTTCGCTCATTTCCGTAAAATATTTGAGCGCTTCCGTAAAATTGAAGTGCCCATTTCCGTATAAATTGGACGCGAAATTCTGTAAATTCGTCGCTGAGTTCCGTGAAATCGTCCCCCATTTCCGTAAAGCGTGCGCGCATTTTCGTAAAATTGTGGCCCGGATCCGTAAAATCGTCGCCCAGTTCCATAAAATGGACGCGCAGTTCCGTTAATTCGTTGCACATTTCCGTAAATTGTGCGTACGTTGCAGTATAATGTGCACGCGCTTTCGAATAATCTTCGCCTAGTTGTGTAAAGCTGGCGGCCATTTCCGTAAAATCGTTGCCCATTTGCAGAGAATAGTAGCTTAATTTCAGCAAATCGTGTCCGAGTTCCGTCAAATCGTCGAAGTTGACAAAAAATGGTCGCCAAGTTCGGTAACGTCGTCGAACAATGCCGTAAAACCTTCGAAATGTTTAGTAAAATGGGCGCGCATTTTCGTAAAATAGCCGCACAGTGCAGATAATTGTCGCATACTTTCGTAAAATCGTCTAGCATTTTCACAAAATTCTCGACAAGTTCCGTAGAATCGTCGCCTAATTCAGTAAAATGGACGTGCAGTTCCGTTAAATCGTCGCCCAGTTTCGTTAACTGGACGTACATTGCCGTAAAATAAGCTCGCACTTTCGAATTATCTTCTCCAAGTTCCGTAAAGTTTGCGCCTATTTCCGTAAAATCGTTGACCATTTCCAGAGAATCATCGCTTAATTTTGTCAAAGCGTGTCCGAGTGTCGCCAAATCGTCGAAATTGACAAAAAATCGTCGCCAATTCGGTAACGACGTTGACCAATTCCGGAAAACCGTTGAACTATTCCCTAAAAATGGGCGCAAAATTCCGCAAATTCGTCGCAGAATTCCGTGACCTCGTTGACAATTCCAAAAATAGAAGCATAGTTCCGTAAAATTGGCGTTCATTTCCGTAGAATGGGCGCCCAGTTCCGTAAGATTTGCGATCAGTAGCATAGAATTGGGATCCAGGTACGCAAAATGGGGCGCAGTTTTGGATAATCGTCGCAGTTCCGAGAAATGGACGAGCAATTCCGTAAAACTGACACAAATTTTGTAAAACCGGATTTCGTAAAATTGTTGCCACATTCCGTAAAACCGTCGCATACTTCCGTACAATTGACGTGCAATAGCGTAAAATCTTGGATTAGATCCGTAAAATGAGCGCGAATTTCCGTGAAATGGTCACCCATTTCCGTAAAATTGGCGTCTATTTCCGTAAACTTTGGATACAGTTCCGTAAAATAAGCGAGCATTTCTGTAAATCGTCGCCCAATTCCGTACAATTGGCGGGCGATTCCGTATATTCCTCGCAGAATTCCGTGAAACCGTCGAATATTCCAAAAATGGACGCCGAGTGCCTTTAAATTGCCCACAGTTTAGTAAATTGCGTGCGCATTTCCGTAAAATTGTCGCGCAGTTCCGTAAAATAAGCGTCCAGATCCGAAAAATGGAAGTCAAGTTCCGCCAAATCATCGCAGAATTTTGTGAAAACGTCGACATTCGCCGTAAAATGGGCGGTTGTCTCCGTAAAATTGGCGTCCAGCTACGCAAATTGCAAGCACAGTATCGGAAACTCGTGGATCCGTTCCGTATAATATGCGCGCATTTTCGTGAAATCGTCGCCTAGACCCGTAAAATAAGCGAGCAGTTCCGTAAAATCGTCGCACACCGTAAAATTGGCCCGCATTTTTGTAAAATCGTCGCCAGGTTCGGAAAATGGGCGGTCAGTTCCGTAAAATTTTCCCCTAGTTTCGTATAATCATCGCCCAGTTCCGTAAAGTCGACGCGCAATTCCGAAAGTCGTTGCATCATTCCGTAAACTGGGCGTACATTGCCGTATGTTGCGCGCGAATTTTCGAAAACTCTTTGCCCAGTTCCGTAAAGCCGTTGCCCATTTCAAACAAGTGGTCAATTATTTTTGAAATACCGTGTTCCATTTCCGTCAACTTGTCGAAATTGACGAAAAATCGTCGCCAATTCGGTAACGTCGTCGACCAATTCCGTAAAACCGTCGAACGGTTCCGTAAAATGTGCGCCAAATTCCGAAGATCCTCGAGGAATTCCGAGACATCCTTGACACGTTCCGAAAATAGACGAGTGGTTCCGTAAAATTGGCGTCTATTTCCGTAGAATAGGCGGCCAGTTCCGTAGAATTTGCGATCAGTTGCATAGAATTGAGGTCCAGGTACAAAAAACGGGGGAGCATTGTCGTAAAATCGTCGCATAGTTCCGTGAAATGGGCGCGCCATTTCGTAAAATCTTTCCCTGATTACTATGATTTGCGGCCAGTTCCGTAAACTTTTCCCCCAATTCCGTGTAATTGTCAACCATATCCGTAAAATTAGGGTGCAGTTCATAAAACCTACGACTAGATCCCTAAATTCCGCGCGCAGTTCCATAAAATCGCCGCCAAGCACCGGATAATGGGCGCGAATTTACGAAAAATCGTCACCCAGGTACTTAAAATGATCAAGCATATCCGTAAACTGGACGCGCAGTACCGTAAATTCGTCGCAGAGTTCCGCGTAAGTGTCGACAATTCCGTAAAATGGAAGCGGGGTGCCGTTAAATCGTCGTCCAGTTACCTAAAAGGCGCGCATTTGCCAAAAATGTCAATAATTCCGTACAATTGGCGTCCAGCTCCGTAAAATTGTCGCATAGTTCAGAAAAATGAGCGTCCAGTTCCGTCAAATGGTTGCGGAATTCTGTGAAAACTTCGACAAGCTACGTAAAATTGACGGTTTTCTCCGTAAAATTGGCGTCCAGTTACGCAAAACGGGGGTGCAGTTTCGTAAAATCGTCCCCCAGTTAAGTAAAATGAGCGCGCAGTTTCGTAAAATTTTTGCCCAGTTCCGAAAACTTTGTGCGCAGTTCCTTAAAATGGACGCGTATTTCCGTAAACTCTTCGCCGTTCCGGAAAATCGTCGCCCAATTTCGTAAAATAAGCGACCAGTTCCGAAAAATTGTCGCGCAGTTCCGTAACATAAGCGCGATTCCATATTGTCTACTCGAAATTCCGTGAAATAGACAATTTCGTAAAATGGACGTCGAGTTCCGTTACATCGTCGCCCAGTTCCGCAAAATGGGCGCGCATTTCCGTAAAATGGTCGCCCAGTTCCGAAAATAGGCGCGCAGTTCCGTGACAGATTGGTGCAGTTCCCTAAAATCGTCGCCTAGTTCCGTAGAATGGGCGCGCATTTCCGTAAAATGGACGCGCATTTCCGTAAACTCTTCGCAGAATTCCGTGAAATCGTCGCCTGATTGCTGAAAATGGGCTTGCATCTTGGCAAAAATTTCGCGTACTTCCGTAAAATGGGCGCAATTCCCCAAAAAGCTTCGCGGAATTCTGTGAAATCACCGACAATTCCGTAAAATGTATGGTGTGCCGTTAAATCGTCGCCTAGTTCCGTAAAATTGGCGCGTATTTCTGTAAAATAGACGCGCAGTTACGTAAATCTGTCGCCATGTTAAGTAAATTTGGCGAGCATTATCGTAAATTAGCCGCCTACTTACGTCAAATGGGCGGCATTTCCGTAACTTCGTCGCTGAGTTACGTGAAATCGTCGCCCAATTCCTGAAAATGAGTGCGCATTTGTGTAAAAATGTGGCGCAGTTCCGTTAAATGGGCGCAATTAAGTTTAATGTTCTTAGAATTCTGGGAAATCTTTGACAATTCCGTAAAATGGACGCCGTGCCGTTAAACGTCGCCCAGTTCCCAAAAACGGGTGCGCATTTCCGTAAAATTTCGCCCAGTTCCGTAAAATTGGCGTCCATTTCCGTAATAATGGCGTCCATTTACGTACAATAAGCGTCCAGTTCCGTCAAATCGTCGCGGAATACGGTGAAAACGTCGACAATCTCCGTAAAATGGACAGTTCCTTTCCGTAAAATTGGCGTCCATGTACGCAAGCTGGAAGCGCAGTTTAGTAGATTTGTCGACCAGTTCCGTACAATGGGCGCGTAGTTTGGAAAAACCGTCGACCGGTTCCGATAACGGGCGCGCATTTGCGTAAAATTTTTATGCAGTTTCGAAAAACGTCGCACAGTTCGGAAAAGTCGTGCCCTGATCCGTAAAATAGGCGACCATTTCCGAAAAATGGGCGCGCATTTTCGTAAAATGTTCGCACAGTTCCGAACAATGGAAGCGCAGTTTCGTAAAATCGACGCCCGCTTCCGCAAATGGGCGCGCATTTGCGTAATATTGTTGCGCAGCTTCGAGAACCGTCGCGCAGTTCCGTAAAATGGGCGCACAGTGTCGTAAAATGTTGACCTATTTCAGTATAATTTGCCTTTAGTTCCGTAAAATTGTGGTACAGTTCCGTAAATTAAGCGTCCAGTTCCGCAAAATGGAAGCGGCCTCGTAAAATCTATGCCGAAATCCGTACAATGGGCTCGCCATTTCCTAAAATCGTCGCCCATTTCCGTATAGCTTGCGCCAATATCCGTAAAATCGTTGCCCATTTCCAGAGAATCGTCGCTCAATTTCGTCAAATCGTGTCCGAGTTCTGTCAAATCGTCGAAAATGACGAAAAATCGCCGCCGAATTCGATAACGTCGTAGACCAATTCAGCATAACCATCGAACTATTTCGTAAAATGAGCGCAAAATTCCGCATAATCGTCGCGGTATTCCGTGATATCGTTGACAAGTTCCGGAAATAGACACACAGTTCCGTAAATTTGGCGTCCATTTCCGTAAAATGCTCGTCATGTACTGTAAAATCGTTGTTCAGCTCCGTAAAATGGTCGCACAGTTCCGCAAAATGGGCGCGCAGTTTCGTAACAGCTTTGCACGGTTCCTGAAATGGGCGCGCAGTTTCGCAAAATTGTCGCGCGTCCGAAAACTAGCGCGCATTTGCGTAAATTTGTTGCGGATTTTCGAAAATCGTCGCCCAGTTCCGTAACATTAAGCGCAGTTTCGTAAGATTTCCGCCCACTTCTTTAAATGGGCGCGCATTTGCGTAAATGTGTTGCGCAGTTTCGAAAACCGTCGCTTAGTTCCGAAAAATATTCGCATAGTTCCGTAAATTGGAAGCGCCGTTTCGTAAAATTGTCGCGCCCTTCCGAAAATGAACGCGCATTTGCGTATAATTGTTGCGCAGTTTGGAAAACCGTCGCCCATTTCCGAAAAATCGTCGCCCAGCCCTGTAAATTGGGAGAGCAGTGGCGTAGAATGTTGGCCCAGTTCAGTATAATTTTCCTCTAATTCCGTAACATTTGGGTACAGTTCCGTAATATAAGCGGCCAGTTCCGTAAATTGAGGGCGTAATTTCATAAAATTAGCGTTCAGTTCCGTCAAATCGTCGCGGAATTCTGTGAAAACTTCGACAAGCTACGTAAAATTGACGGTTTTCTCCGTAAAATTGGCGTCCAGTTACGCAAAACGGGGGCGCAGTTTCATAAAATTTTTGCCCAGTTCCGAAAACTTTGCGCGCAGTTCCTTAAAATGGACGCGTATTTCCGTAAACTCTTCGCCGTTCCGGAAAATCCGCAAAATGAACCCGTCGTTAAGCTCCGTAAAATGGGCGAACATTTCCCTAAAATGGGCGCGCAGTTCCGTGATATGTGCTTCTATTTCCGTAAAATGGGCGCGTAGCTCCGTTAAACTGGCGCTGTTTTTCATTAAATCGTTGCCCATTCCTGGAAAATAATCGTTTTCTACAGTGAAATCGTGCGTAGTTCGTCATATTATCAAAAATAACGAAAAGTCGTCGACCGGTTCTGTAAAATGGGCATCTAGTTCCGTAACATGGACTCGTAGTTCCGTTACGTTATACTTTTAGGTAAAATGAGTTTCCGTTTGCGTAAAATCCTTGCCCAGTTCCGAAATATATTCCCTTAATTTCGTCAAATCGTGTCCTATTTCCGTCAAATCCTGGAGATTTCAAAAATTCGTCGACATTTTCCGTAATATCGTCGTTTAATTCCGAAAACCACTCCCCAACTTCCGTCAAATTTTCCACGAGTTCCGTAAAATATTAGCGCGATTGAGTATAAATATTGCTGAAATCCGTTAACTCGTTGCCCAGTGCAGAAGGTCGTCAACCAGTTACGTTAAATCGTCGCTGTTCTGCGAAATCCTCGGCAAATTCCGTAAGATGTGCGTTCGGTTCCGTGAAATAAGCGCGCAGTTCCGTAAAATGCGCGCCGGATTCCGTTAAATGCGCGCGAAATTTCGAAATAATCGTCGCTTTGTTCCGCAAAATTGGCGCTTAGTTCCGTAAAATCGTTGCCCAGTTCCGGATAATGGTCGCTTAGTTCCGTAATATCGTTGACTAGTTCCGAAAAGCTGGCGCCTATTTCCATAAAATCTTGTCCCAGTTCCGGATAATCGTTGATAAGTTTTGTCAATTTGTGTCCCAGTTCTGTCAAATATTCGAATTTTCCAGAAATATCGTCGCCGAGAAAGGCAACTTGGGCGCCTGTTTCCGAATGATCACGGAACTTTTCCAAAAAATCGTCGATTATTTATGAGAAACAGTTGCTCAAATCCGTAAAATGGTCGCAAATCGCTGAATTGTTGTGTTCAATGGGCACCGGGTTCTGTAAATTCTTTTCCCATTTCCGTTAAATCGGGGCGCCTTTCTATAAATTGTCGCCCAGCTCCGTAAAATCGTCGCATAGTTCTGTAAAATGGGCTTCCATTTGCGTAAAATCATCGCGCGGATTCTTAAACTAGACGTCTAGTTCCTTCTAAGCGTCGCAAATTCCCGTAAAATTCCGCATAATTCCGTAAAATCGTTGCAATGTTCCGTAAAATGGGCGTCCAAGTTTTGTAACGTGGGCGCGCAGTGCCGTAAAATCGGCGTCCGTTTTCGTAAAATGGGCACCCAGTTCCGTAAGATGGGCGCCCAGTTCCGTAAAACGCGCTGTTTTCCAAAAAACCGTCGACTATTTCCTGGAACGGAACGGTTTCTTTCGTTAAATCATGTCGCAGTTTGGTCATATCATGGAAATTCTGAAACATCGTTGAACAGTTGCGTTAAATGGACCCGCACTTCCGTAAATTCGTTGCACAGTTCCGAACAAGGAGCGTTTATTTCCGCAAAATGGGCACGCATTTCTGTACAAGCGTCGCCTAGTTCCGCAAACCTGGCACCTGTTACCAGAAAATCGTTGCTCCGTTCCGGAAAATCGTCGCATGCTCTTGTCAAATCGTGTCACAGTTCCTTGAAACCATCGAGATTTCCGAAAAACCCACGTGCTTACGATAAATGGGAGTCCATTTCCGTAAAACAGGAGCAGTTACGTAAAATAATAGCACAAATCCGCAAACCTGGCGTATATTTCCGTAAAATCGTTGCCCAGTGCCGGAATATTTTGGCTTAGTTCCGTAACATCGTAGCCGGTTCTCGTAAACGCCTGGGCAATTTCCGTGTATTTTCGCCCAATTCCGCAAAGCTGGAGCCCATTCCCGTAAAATCGTTGCCCAGTAAAGGAATATCGTCAAACAGTTTCGTCAGATCTTGTCCCAGCTCCGTCAACATCTCGAAATTTCAAAAAAGTCGTAAAAAACATCCGTGAAATGGGCGCCCGGTTCCCTGAGATTGGCGTCACGCTCCAAAAAAATGGGCGCATTCATCCGTAAAATCATTTAAATTTGCGACTCGTTCCGGAAAATATTGGAGAAACAAAGTCAAATAGTAGCTTAATTCCGTAAATTCGCTGCACATTAAGTAAGGATGTCGGTTAATTCCGTAAATTCGATTCCCAGTTCCGTAAAATACTCGACCAGTTCAGCAAAGCTGTAGATAATTTCCGTAAAATCGTTGCTCCGTTCCGGAAAAACGTCGCTTAATTTTGACAAATCCTCGAAATTTAAAAAAATCATTCACAAGTTCCGTAAAATTGGCGCCTGTCTACGTATAATCGTCGACCTTTTCCGTAAAGTCGTCACTTACTTCCGAAAAATCGTCGCTAACTTCCGAATAATGAGCGCCCAGTTCCGAAAAGTCGTATCTTAGTTCCGTAAAATGTTCGCTCGTTTCCGTACAATCGTCGCTTTGTTCCGCAAAATGGGCGTCCGTTTACGTAAAATCGTCTCCAATTCCGTAAACTGAGCGGCCAGTTCCGTGAAATGGGCGCCCAGTTTCGTAAGCTCGTCGCTTAATTCCGTAAAGTCCTTTACCAATTCCATCAAGTCGTCGCGCAACACCGTACAACCTTCTCCCTCTTTCGTAAATTCGGCTCCCTGTTCCGTCATATCGTCGTCCAGTTCCGTAAAATTGTCGCCCGTTCTGTAAAATCCTCTTCCACTTCCGTAAGATGTGCCCCCAATTCCGTAAATTCGTCTATCATTACCGTAATATGGGCGCAAAGTTCATAAAAATCTTTGCCCAGTGCCGTAAAATCGCCGATAGTTCAGAAAATCGTAGCATTTTTCGTTCAAATCTTCCTCCAGTCCCGAAATTTCTCCGTATACTTCCGTATAATGAGCGCCCAATTCCGTGAAACGGGCTCCAAGTTCCGTAACATCCTCTTCCATTTCCGTAAAATCGTCGCTTATTTCTGTAAGCAGTGCGCCCATTTCCGGAAAATGGTCGCCCGGTTCCGTTAAACGGTCGCGCCCTTCCGTAAGTCTTCTAATTCCGTAAAATCGTTGTCCACTTCTGTAAATTCGTCGCTTCTTTGCGTAAATTCGTTACCTAGGTCCGTAAAATCGTCGCGAAGTTCCGTAAAATCATTGCCCAATTTTGTCAAGTCGTCGATTAATTCCGTAAGGTCGTCACCCATGTCCGTAAAATTGGTGTCAAGTTCCGAAAAATCCTCGCCGTTCCGTAAAATCGTCTCCAAATTCTGTAAAGTCGGCGCCAATTCCATAAAATCGTCGTTTATTTCCTTAAACGATGCGCCCAGTCCAAATGTCCCCAGTTACGAAAAACTTTCGCCAAGTTCCGTAAAATGGTCCCGCCCTTCCGTAAAATAGTAGCTTAATTCTGTCAATCCGTTGCCTAGTTCCGTTTGCGTAAATTATTTTCCGAGTTCCGTACAATCGTGGATTAATTCCTCAAAATCGTCGATAAGTTGTGTAAAATCTTTGACAAATTCCGTAAAATCTCCGCTAATTTTCGTAAAGTCATCACCCAGTTCCGTTAAATGGGCATCCAGTTCCGCTAAGTGGTCTCCCATTTCAGTCAAATTGTCGCCCGGATCAGTATAATCGTCTAATTCCGTAAAATAGGCGCCTAATTACGTAAAATCGTCCCAAGTTCCGTAAAATGGTCGCGCCTTTCCGTAAAGTCGTTGCCCAGGTCCGTAAAGTCTTCGGTTAATTCCGTAAATTCGGCTAGATATCTGAGGCGAATAGTTACTAATCAACGGAATTGCGTGACGATTTTACGTCATTGTGTCACAATATTACGAAACGGTGGCAAGATGTTATATAACTGTCGCACGATTTTCAAAATGTGGCACCGTTTTACGGAAATGTGCGGCTATATATCTGTTTCGATTACTTACTAATAGACCGAACTGTGAGACGCTTTTGCTGAACTGGATAACGATATTTCGGAACTGCGTCATGATTTTACGGGTTTGCGTCATGAATTCACGGAAATTTGTTGCGATTTCACAGTCTGCGGAATGATTTTACGAAACAGTGCAGCTGTCTGTGGTGAATGCTTCCCATTAGACGAAACGGTGAGACAATTTTAAGTAACTAGATGACCACTTTGCGGAACCGTGGCACCATTTCACGGAACTGCGGCACGATTTTACGGAACAGTGCAGCTATATATCTTAAGCGAATACTTACCATACGACTGTACTGTGTGACGGTTATATGGAATTGGGTGCTGAAATAACGGCACTATGGCGTGAGCTCACAAAATTGCAGGTTTTTTAAAAATGCGGCACGGTTTAACGGAATTGTGGCACGTATTTCTGGGACTGACAATTATACGGAACATGTTGAAGATTTTACGGAACTGTTGCACAACTTTCGGAAATGAAGCGGGATTATTCGGAACTCTGAGACGAATTCTCAGGACTGCGACTGGATTATGCGGGAATATGTGGCTATTTGGTTTCGGCAAATACTTACCAATAAACGAAACAGTGAGACGAATTTACGGAAATAGGTGACTATTTGAGAGAACTGTGGCACGGTAACAGGAAGTTTGGCAAGATTTTCGAGAATGTTGTCACAATTTTACGGAGATGCGGCACGACTTTTCGAAAATATATTGCTATACTCAAGAGGCAATTATTTAACACTAGACTGTGGCAGGATTTCACAGAACTGTGGCATGATTTTACGGAAATGTGGCACTGTTTTTCAGGAATTTGCTACGATCCTACGGAAATTGGTTACAGCTCACGAAAATGCGTGAAGGTTTGAAGGGAAGTGTGCGGCGATAAGACGAAAATGTGGCACCATTTAATAGTACTGCAGCACCATTTTATGGATATGTGGAACCGTTTTACGGAACTGGGTGACGCTTTTGAGGAACTGTGCAGCCATATGTCTAAGGGTGATTAGTTCCATTAGACGGAAATATGTGACGTATTTACGGAACGGTGAACGATTGTACAGAATTGGGGCACGATTTTCCTGAACTAGGGTCTGCTTTTACGGAACTGCGGTACAATGTTAAGGAACTGTGACACAATTTTACAGAACTGTGGTATGATTTTACGGCACTGCGGCATAATTTTACGAAATTCTATGGCAATAAATCTGAGGTGAATACTTGCCATTAGACGAGAGTGTGAGTTGCCATTTTCACGAGACTGAACGACGATTTGACGGAACTGTGGCACTATTTAACGAAATTGTGCGGCTATATGTCTGAGGTGAATTCTTACTATTTGACGGAACATTGTGACGATCCGCCTAACAGGGGCACGATTTACGGGACGGTGTAACGCTTTTACTGAACTGTGGCAGGATTGAGGCATCACGATTTTGCAGAATTGTTGCACGATTAAACGGAAATGTCTAAGGCGTATAATTACTAAGACGTGGTTGTGTGACGATTTTAGGGAATTTGGCATGGTTCTACAAAAATGTGGATTTTACGGAACAGTGACACGATATTATGGAACTGGGTTACGATTATAGCAACTGTGCGGTTAAATGCCTGTGGCGATTACTTATCAACAGACCTCAATCTTTGACGATTTGACAGAACCGTGGTATCACTTGACAGACCATTGAAACGATTTTCGGAAATGAAGCACGATTGTACGTAAATGTGCCACGATTTTACGGAAATATGTGACCATTTTACGGAACTGTGCGGCTCTTGGTCTGAAAAGATTACATACATCTAGGCGGAATACAGTGACGATTTTACGGAACCAAATGACGACTCGACGAAACGGTGAAGCGATTTTACGAAACTGTTGCAAGATCTTACGGAACCGTGCAGCTATTTGTCTGAGCTGAATACTGCCCATTAGACGGAAATTTGTGACGACTGTACGAAAGTGCGGTACGATTATGCCAAACTGCGGCACAAGTTTACGGAAATGTGGTACGACTTTATGGAAATGTTGCACCATTTTACGGAACGTTGCGACGACGTTACGGCACTGTTTGACGATTTGACGGAACTATGGTGCCGATTATACAGAACAGTGGAAAGAGTTTACGTAGTTGCGCATGATTTCACGGAATTGAAGCAGAATTAATCAAATTTGTAGCAGGGTCAAATGGAACTGGGACACGATTTTACGGAACTGTGCTGTTATATTTCTGATTCAAGTACTTGCCACTTGGCAGAATTGTGTAAGGAATTTACCAAAATATGGCACGGATATAAAGGAAAAAATAGTTTATTCTTCGGCCTCCAAAGGTAAGTACAATATGTATAAAAAAATAATTAGTTACTCCTCGAATGATAGTGACACACAAGTACAGGCTTGATCAGGTAGTTGTCAGAGACACAGCAACAAAATAATCGTATGCGCACCAAACGACGGAGATAGGTGCATGCAAACTTCGTCGTTCGAATAATATTGCGTAATTTTCATGATGGATATGTTCATTGGAGTCAGAGAAAAAAGTAGCGAGGAACACAGTAAAATCTGTAATAGTTTCCGGTAGGAAAAACTGGACGGGCAATTTGAACAGTTCCAGAGATTGATTTCCAATATTCCGTGTGCTTTGAAACCAAGTTAAATATTTCATAAACTCTGTTGGACCAAAGGGTGAGGATTTGTTCACATGCCGCTGTGCTCACAATGTTCGGTTAACGGGATCTTGTCAGTGTTTAGCAGTGGGCAGTGACTTTACTTTAGCGGCGAGTCACATCCGCCACGTCGCAGTGTTGTTGAGCGGACATTAGTTGCTTTTTATAGGGAGAAGGCTTGCCAGGCGAAACCTCACCACTTCCTGGAACACTGTCTTTGACCATAAATTGAATACCGGTAAACGCAAAGTTGCGAACAAATTTCTGCAGGGCTAATTGCACTCGTGATGTACCCATTTTTCATTTGGCTGAGCAGAATGCTTATTCAGGATTCACGAGTAACTTTTGGAACAGACGGTAGCAGATAAGCAAGAAACGCTGAATAATGAGGGCCGGATATTTCATACGCTGTATACTTGTCCGAGCAGATAACCCATGCGCCAGGTGGGATTCATGATCAAGTGTAAGTGGAATAAACATAGCAGGTAAGTAGAACGCTAGCATGGAGATAAAACTTGTTAGGGAAGATCTTTCAAATGTATAAGGGATATAATTTCAATTGTTCGTTATTAACAAGCACTGATCAAGGGGATTTCTATGGTCTCCGAAATCACCGATGGCGGTCGATTCTCATGTGAAATGCGTGAGATCTTCGGCAGCCCATACCGCCGAGGTAAGTAATATATGCATGGCAAAATTGCGCGAAGTAAAGCCGCTGGAATTATAAAGGAAGTGGTGATGTTCCGCAGGTGCGATGGAGTTGAACTTTATTGTTTAAACTAGTAGAATATAGGAGATAAAGATAAAAAGGTTTACTGTATTCTCCAATATACAAATATAGCCGAACATAACAACAAAGCTCCTTAAAGATAAACCCCCAACAAAGGAACTGGCTGACGTTTTGACGAAATTGTATCACGATTTGACGGCTTTACGGAACTGCAGCACCATTTTCGTAATGGCTGCCGCATTTTACTGAACTCGGTGACGAATTTATTTAAATGTTGCGTGGTTTTACGTAACGGTGGCACGCGTTTACTGAACTCTGCCAAGATTATACGGAACTTTAGCAGCATTTACTGAACTGTGGCAAGATTTTCCGGAAAAAGTGAGGATTTAAAGAAACGTGGCACGATTTTACGGAAATGTGGCAGGATTATACAGATTAAGTGATGATTTTAAAGAAATATGGCACAGTGTTACAGACTTGTGGCATGAGTTCACGAAACTGGCACAGATTTACGGAATTGTGCAGCTGTATGTCTGGGGCAAATACCTACCTTTTGACGGAATTACGTGACGATGTCACTCAAACGGGCTGTGATTTGACGGAATTGCGCTACCAATCTCCAGAACTGTGGGATGATTCAACAGTAATGTGGCACGATTTTACGGAAATTCGCGGCCATAGGTCTGAGGCCTAGACATACAAATTAAGGAACCTGTGTGACGATTATACGAACATGAGAGACTATGTGACAAACTTGTTTGACGATTTATCGGAACGGTGCGGCTATATTTCGAAGGCGAATGCTTACCATTAGATAGAACTGTGTTACGATTTTACGGACACGGGTGATGATTTCGCAGACTTGAAAAAGCTTTTTAGGATATACGGTATTGCGGCTCTGTGTGAAGAATTAATAACTGCCACCAGATTTTACGGAACTGTGACGTGATTTGATG